GGAGGAGGAGTCTAGTGGACTTTACTCCCTGGGATGATTTTGAACTTCAGTCTTCCAGATCTCAGCCTCCTGAGTAGCTAGGATTACAGGTGTGAGCCACCAACGCTCAGCTTATAGCTCACCCTTGATATTGTACAGTATACTTTTCAAATATTTGGTATATTTTATTTTATTTCCTTTTTGCCTCCTTGAACCATTTGAATTCCATTTTCTCAGCAGATTTATCCTTATTGTAATCCATTCGTGGGCTTGAAAGTCTTCTTCATTTCTTATACTGTTCTTTGACAAATTATATTTATAAGTCAATAAGTAAGACGTTGTTTTTGGCTACCATAAGGCATATTAGTGTCAGAACAAAGTACTTAAATCATACAATGGATTAAAATAAAAAGACATTTTAACGCTGACATTATGTTGGCATAAAAAGTAAAAAGTGTGGAACATCTCAGAATGATATAAATAGATGGAGCCTCCCTCCGATTAACTCAAGGATCCAGAGATGAAGGTTCTATATCAATTGTATTCTTCATTTTTACACCTGTGTGAGTACATTTTTATAGATGAAAGTGTTAGAAAACTTGGGTTCACATTAATAAATAGATAGGAACAGAAGCATGCCATTCAATTCTCTGACCTCCTTCTGAATTATTAGCTAAAAGTCACAGAAGAATCAAGGATGGTTCTTTTCATCCATTGGCTGATGAGATAATTAGGTCCCTTCCATTGTGTTAAAAGCAAAGAATTAGACATCACTTGGCTTCCAGTAGGATTAGTTATAAATCCTCTCCTTTTTTTAAATAGTGTTTCAACTTATCCCTTTGTTTCGGGTCTTTGAGCTTCATACCCCAGGACAGCAAGGTCCTTGTGAATGTAAGAGTTGCCTTTTCCTTTCTAAAATGTGAAAGGGTAATTGTTGTGAGAACTGCCCAGTCTCAAGACAGATCTACTTTCGGAGCGAAAAAATATCCAGAGAAGTTGAAGATGTAGAAATGGATGCCAGTGTGTCCCTGGAGAGGCTTCACCTATGTACTTTATTTCCTTACAATATGAAGGTGTATTGTGAGAATTCAAAGCCTTAGTAATTGTGAACAGCTCTCCAGGAAGGGATGTTCTGGAATGGGCTGCTCACAATTGACTTGACCTAGACCTTGATCTATGCCCTAGAGTTTTAGGCAGGAAGATAAAGAAGCTTGAATATCAGTCTAACCTCAGGCTGAATCATCATCTTGTGGGCAGAAAATCCCAAGACTCTGGATTCATGGAGTTTGGACTCAGGGTTGGGGGAGAGATCATTAGCTTCAGGTGGCCTGTCCTTGAGCCCTACAACTCACCATTCTGAGTAGATGAATGACTAGGCTGAGGTAACAGAAGAAGAAACCCTCTAAAGCAGATCAGGGCAGGGTCATAGATAGAGGCTGTGACCATGATACCCCAAAGTATATAGCCTTGGTATATTGGCTATTTGGAGCTGGAAGACTTCAGAAGCAAGAAATTCTCTATGACTCCTGCCTTCCTCCCTCCTTTCTCCATGTATTCCCCAAAGCAACTTTTAGAAACTAGAATGTTCAAAGCAAGCCATAAAACCCAGGAAGACCACTCTTGGATCTCCTCCTCTTCATTCAGGTCCTCAGGGGATGAGTGGCCTGCTCCTATCCTGGAAGAAATGTCTGATCAACATAGAAAGGAATCTGAACACAGGCCTTGTTGAATCCACCATTGGTTTATTTATTATATGATGTTTGGTTTCCTCCAAAGTCTGCCCACAAACTTAGCATAAAATACAGGTTTCCCTGAATCGTTGAGTCTTCATTTCTAAAGGTTTCCACAAGACATAAAACTTTGATTAAATAAATGAGTGAAGCTTTCATCTGTGTTTGCTATAGGAGAGTTGCTATGACTGCCTGCCATGTATGGGTAGGGCAAGAGAATTTCTTTTTTCCCCCTTTACCAAGCCCTCTTTCCAGATGGTACTGCTTTGTTCTGGGGAAAGCGATTTGAGGTAGTAGAACATCCTTGTCTTACTAGAAGCAGCTTTTAAAAATCAATGTCAGTGATACACGCATCACTGACATTGCCTCCGTAGGGAAGTCAAGGTTTTTTTTCTTTGCTCATCACTGAGTTTATGGCTGAGATCTCTATAATGGATAACAGATTAACAAAAGAAGAATGCATGATTTTATTTAATACAAGTTTGTGGGGGAGGAGGGAGTCCTGGAGCTTGAACTCAAGACCTGGACACTGTCCCTGAACTTTTTTTTTTTTTTTTTGCATACAACTAGCACTCTACTTGCACTGTAGAGCTCCACTTCCAGCTTTTTCGTGATTAATTGAGATAAGAGTTTCACAGATTTTCCTGCCGGTGCTGGCTTCAAACTTTCATCCTCACATCTTAGCTTTTGAGTAAGTAGGATTAGAGGCATGAATTACTGGCACTCAGCTTAATATAAGTTCTCTGTAACACTGGAGTCTTCAGAAATAAAGACACCTTCCAAAAAAATAAAACAGGGAAAGTTGAGTTGTTGTTTTTTTTACATGGTCTCATATGATTGGAGAATAAGATCCAATCATCCCACACCAAGAAACTTGCAAAGCCTGCTTGTTCAGATTCTTTGGGTTCTGTGACTTCAGAGACAGGGACTTGGCTTTTTGCTTGAGGTTAGAATGGGAACTTTTCGGGTTTTTTTTATCATTTTTCTCCAGAATTATAGCATTTATTTTCTTGTATGGAAATTTTCTTTTTTAAAAAATAAGTTTTTTATTGTGAAAATACCATACAGAGGGGTTACAATTACATGAGCAAGGTAATAAGTATATTTCTTATTAAGCATTATTGCCTCCTCCTTTGTTTTTCCCCTACCATCCCTGCCCTCCCATCTCCACAATTACACTCCCCCCCCACACACCCCACCCCTAGAACTTTTCTTATGAGGATCTTTAGATCTCTGGCCTGCTTTACAATAAAGTCAGAGAAGTCTTTTACAATCTGCTTCATGACCACCAAAGTTGTTTTTAATCTCTCAAATGTTCAAGTACATGTCATACATCTCATTACCTGAAACAAAAGTGTGTGTGTGTGTGTGTGTGTGTGTGTGTGAGAGAGAGAGAGAGAGAGAGAGAAATCTAAAGCCTAAGGACTAGTTCTGACTATGAGAAATTATTCAAATACTAACACTAGCCACTTTTATTACTGTTCAAGCATTCAAGCATCAGTTCTCCATAGAACACTGTGTGTATAATAATTATTCAGGAAATATATTGCAATGCAGATTTCCAGGTCCATCCAGGTCTTCAGATCAGTAGTAAGAGAGCTTGCACACATGCCTTTTCTCGAGCATCTAGGCTGACTGGGATCACCCTTGGGAACGCATTGCTGTGACCTGGGTGTTTGGGTCACTGTGTTCCTCATGTGTGATTGCTACTGTAAGTACATCGTAACTTCTTCACGATATTTTGGAAAACTCTGTTTTCACCCTAAAAATCTAAAACACTGTGACAGAGGTCACTCCTAGTGATTATGTAATCAGCTGTAGTGGCTACAGAGATTAGTAAGAAATTAACCCTTGAGTGCTAATGTTATATGGAAACTCACATACTTTATTTTTAGCCATCTCATGGGTATTCAGAATGGGATGATACATAGATGATTATTAACCACACTCAGAGACTTCCCCCATTTATGTGTGTTTGTGTGTGAGTGTAAGCGTGTGAGCACGTATGCTGTCCTGGAACTTGAACTCAGGGCCTGGGTTCTAGGAATTTTTTGCTCAAGGCTAGCACTCTACCTATCACTTGAGCCACAGCTCCACTTCCAGCGTTTTTTTTTTCCTTGTACTTTATTGGAAATAAGGGTCTCACAGACTTTTCCTGCTAAGGCTGACTTTGAACTGTAATCCTCAGATCTTTGCCTTTGGGTAGCTAGGATTACAGGAGTAAGCCACCGGCCCCTGTCTGTGTGTCCTTTTGACATGGTCTTCCCTGCTTTTATTTAGGCCTCTCTCTTTCCAGAAATACCCTTCTACTTCTGAATACCCTAGAAGTCACCATTTAGGGAACTATATGATGATTGACACACTGCTTTTATTTTTTGTTTTGTTTTGTTTTTATGCTAGCATTGGGATTTAAATTCAGGACCTAGATACTGTCTTTTCGCTTTTCCAACTCAAGGTGAGCACTGTACCACTTAGACACAGCTTTACTTCTGGCTTCTTTGGTGGTTAACTGGAGATAAAAGTCTCATGGACTTTTCTGTCCCAGCTGGCTTCAAACTGCAATCCTCAGATCTCTTGCCTTTGAGTAACTAGGATTATAGTAGTGAGGCATAAGTGCCTAGAACATACTGCTTTAAAAATTAAAATGAAAAACAACCACCAACAATTACAAAAATCCAGATTTCAAGCTTTACCTAAGAGCCTAGAATCTCCAGTCCACAGGCCTTGGGCTTCTGTGGGGTGCCCACTAGCCAAGTAGTTGAAGTTGAGATGTGAGTTCAGCCTTCACTTCAATCCCTGGTGGGTGAAAGTCTGCCAGCTTCCTGCATGTAACACCAATGTTCTTGGCTATGGAATCTGACCATTACATGACCCTGCATGTAACACCAATGTTCTTGACTATGGAATCTGACCATTACATGACATCATGTCCTTGGCTGGTATTTCCTGTCTTCTTTTCTCATGGTGCACTAAAGGCAGGGGAAGTAGGGGAGGGGAGGTGAAGGTTTACACAGTTAATTCTCCTGGTAGACTCACAGTGTCTTCTGTGGTGTCTGTTTATTTCACACAAGATTATCTTCCTTTTTTAATTTAAATTAATTTATTATTATTTTTGTTTATGTGGTACTGAGGAATCGAACCCAGGGCCTCATGGATGCTAGGCAAGCGCTCTACCCCATGCCACATTCCTAGCCCCAAGATTATCTTCTCTCTCCAGCAAGACCGAATTCCTTGCAGTATTTCCCAGAGTAATGAATACTTCCTGAACTGATCTTTTAACTTTTTATTTAGAATTTCTACTTGGATAACAAAGGAAAAAAAGAAGGCAAGGAAACCAGCGAGAAAATTAATGCTAAGAACAAGGAGTCTTTACTTGAGGTAAGCTTCATTTTGCAGAATGGAAGAAAAGAGAGCATTTTCTGTATCTATTTTTAAGGTTGCTCCCTGGAACAATGGAAAATTCTGAGACAGCACTGAAATTTTAACTTGGGTTTTTTTTTTTTAAATAAATCATTACTGCAGGACACTGATGCCTCACACTTGTAATCCTACCTACTCAGGAGGCTGAGATCTGAGAATCTAGGTTCAAAGCCAACTGGAACAGAAAAATCCATGAGACTCTTATCTCCAATAACGAGCAAAATGCCATATGTGGGGGTGTGGCTCAAATGGCAGAGGGCCAACCTTGAGTGAAAAGGCTTAAGGGACAGAGTCCAGGCCCTGAGCTCAAGCCCCAGTGCCAGCACCAAAATAAATAAATAATTTTTAATCATTACTGAAGTTTAACTGTTTAGATAATTCAACTGTTTCTTTGAGTCAGTGATCCTAAACTATGGCTTTAGACAATATACTTTGCTTTTCGTGAAGTTAAATTAGTAATTCTTTTCTGTTCAAGGCTGGTATTTTACACTTGAGCCATAACTCCACTTTCAGTAGCTTTGGCTGGCTAATTGGAGATAAGAGTCTCCAGGGTTTGTATACCCAGGCTGGCTTCGAATCTTAGTCCTCAGATCTCAGCCTACTGAGTAGGTAGGATTACAGACCTGAACCACTGGATTAGTAATTCTTGACTAAAAAGAAATGAACCATCACTGTATTTGATTCTGGTGCCCTGCATCTTGTATATACATTTTTCTAATTTGGGGAGGGGAAGGGAAATGACAAAATGCAGAAACAAGGATACTGGTTGACCCATTGTAACAATGAGATTTACAAGACACTGTTGAAAGGAACTTTACAACAACTTCGGGGGGGTGGTTAGGGAGAGGGAGGAATTGGGGAGGTGGGGAAGGAAAGGATAGTAGGGGAAAAACAAAGGAGATGGTAACAATGCTCTACAGGAAATGTACTCATTATCTTACTCATGTAACTATAACCCCTCTGTAAAGTATCTTTACAATAAAAAAAACTTTTAAGAAATGAACCCTCTTAAAAATCAACTGAGAATACTCCATATGCCCATTGCTTAATTGCTCCATGGAAATGAGATACAATTTCAAATCTATGAATATTCTGAACTGCTCTCCCACTAGTCACATTTGGTAGAACCATGAGGTTTACAAGCTTCACCTGAACCTCAGTTTCTAAAACAGACTGAAAGCTGGCACCAGTGACTCACAGCTGTAATCCTCGCTATTCATGAGGCTGAGATCTGAGAATCAAAGTTGGAAACCAAACCAAGAAAAAAAAAGAAAAAAAAAGTCTTGGGGCTGGGAAGGTAGCTCAGTGGTAGAGAGCTTGCCTTGCATGCATGAGGCCCTGGATTTGATTCCTCAGCACCCCATAAGCAGAAAAAGCCAGAAGTGGGGCTGAGGCTCAAGTGGTAGAGCACTAGTCTACAGCTGAAGAGCTGAGGGACAGTGCCCAGGCCCAGAGTTCAGGCCCCACAACTGACAAAAAAAAAAGTCTTGTGACACTTTCATTTCCAACTAACCAGTGAAGTACCAGAAGTGGAGTTGGGGTTCAAGTAATAGAATTCCAGCTTTGAGAAGAAAAAAAAAAGCTAAGGAAGAATGTCCTGGCCCTGAATTCAAGCCTTAGTACCAGGACAAAAGACAGAGGTAAACCCAACTCAGATTGGATCACCACAGAAACTCAGGAGCAAGGTGAAAGCTTGGATGTCTATGATGAGCACTCCTGGATTATATTCCCAAAGCAACTGATTTTGTTTTAATCCCTAATGAATTTTCACTTAGTAACTGAGGCTCTGTTCCCAGCCCAAACTGAAGAAGACATGAGTGTTGGATCACAGGCCATAAAGTGTCATGTTAAAGTCCCAGACCTACTGGTTTACTGTGCTCCAATAGGGTCAATTTTTTTCTCTTGTTAGTACTGCTCTTGAAAATTCAGCACCTTGTTAACCCTTAGGCTGGTTCACTGATGCTGAGAAGCTCTCTTTCTGGTTTATCAAGGTCTTCCCAGGCCCTTGTACACATTTCTGGTCCCTATGCAGGTTCTAGCCACCCTGGACCAAATAAAACAGACACCAGAACTTGCTGCTGCTGCTCCTGAGTATGTGCTTAGACACTGGTCAGGGTCACAGACACAGATTGCTCAGACACAGACAGGGTCAGGCTCTTGGGTCCTGAGCATAGTGGGTCTGCCAGGGAGGCCCAGGAGTAGAAATGGCACTTGCCAGTGAGATTGGAGGTTGGCTATGGGTCAGGTACCTGGTGTCATGGTGAGGACAGGAGAGACTGGATTCTGAGCACATCTTGTTTTAAAGTTGAGAGACATGCAATTGATTTTTTTAATATATGCCACTTTCCAGTTTTGAAAAAAATACACACACACACACAAATAGAGAGAGAGAGAGAGAGAGAGAAGTACTTGTTTTTCCTTTCTGATATTGTGGCATTAAATTTTTCCTTCTTCATTATGTAGAAGTAGATATTATAATTGTTCTATTCACTAATAGTGAAATAGTCATTTTCTTACTTACCTGGAAAGTACTAATTTCTCCATTTTCCAACTTATAGCAAGAGGAACAGGCTTTATTAAATGCTTCGTTTTATAGTATGTCAAGACAGCACTCATAACTGACCTCATGAAGTTGGTTATTATTCTATTTTTTAGAACTAAGGAGCTGAGGTTAATGGCCTATTGTCCAAGAGATGTGTGGTCTCCAAATCTTGGGTCTGACTCAGAGTTAGGGCTTATTCTTTTCTCCTTTTCAGCAATATGTGCATATAATGTCAAAATGTGCACCTGATCAGAGTTCAGAGTCGTAGACAAACTTGATTTTAGGGTAAAGCTAACTTGCAGTTCTGTTTAAATATAAGCAAGAAGGTGTTTAATTTTTTGTGTGTTTTCTGTCTTTGGAATTTTTGTTTCAGGAAAGTTTCTGCGGAACATCCATCATTGTCCCCGAACTTGAAGGAGCTCTTTATTTGAAAGAAGATGGAAAGAAATCCTGGAAAAGACGCTATTTTCTTTTACGGGCTTCTGGGATATATTATGTACCCAAAGGAAAGACTAAGGTCCGTACGCAGTAATAGTCATCTTTCCATTACTGTAACAAAATACCTGAGATAATTGACTTTTAAAAAGTTTGGGAGGTTTCAGTGCATGGCTCACTGGCCCAGTGTTTTGGGTAAGGCAGCACATCACAGCAAGAACACAGCAGAGGAAAGCATCATAGCCAAAAATGAGGGAAGACCAGATTCCCACAATGCTCCTGGAGACCATGCCTCCAATGATATAACTTCCTTCCAGTAGGCCCCACCTCCTAAACGCTCCACCAGCTCCTAATAGTGCCTTAGGCTGGGATCAAGTAGAATTTCAGGAGACATTCCAGATACAAACTATCACAGTGACAATAATCATAACAATGATAATAATAATAACCAGAAGTACATTCATGAGAATAAAAACCTCACAAGTTCCTCAGGTGACAATATATTTGCTCAGATGCAAAATACTTTTGTAATAGTAAAATACTGGGAAAAATTCTGTACCTATAATATAATGATGAAAAATAAATCACTTTTCCTGTTCAGTGGAGAGCTGTGGAGCCACAAAATGGATATTATATATCCATTCATGGTCCTGACATACACCTCCCAAGATACAATGTTTTAAAAAAAGAAACAAGTCTTAGAACACTGTTTGTAGTAATATCCCATTCATGCTTTAAAATTTTTGTTTGTTGGGCTGGGGTGTAGCTCAGTGATATCATTCCAAAAGCCCTGAGTTCAGTCCCATAAACAAGTGTGTCTATAAATATACATACACATAAATATACATACATATACAAAACTGTGTGTATGTATAAATATATGAAGCCAGACCCCTCAAGAGGCTGAAATTCAGAAGATCACTATTTGAAGTCAACTACAGACAGAAAACTCCATCTCCAATCAACCAGCAAATAAGTGTCTACCCACAAACATTTGGAAAAATACTAACAAACTACTCCCTGTAGTACCTCCGAAGAAGAGGAAGAAAAAGAGCTAGTGAATGAAAATGTATATTTAATCTTTTAATTATGATACCTATGCATTATTTTGTAATTCATAAAATTAAAAGTGCAAAAATACAGAAAAAAATGAGGAGGAAAATGGACTGATTTATTTTTCACAAAAAGGAATATTTTGTGCATTGAAGTGTAGCCATTTCATCTTTTATTCAATTAACAAGGTAAATAATGATAGAAACAAGAAAGAGGGAAAAATTGTCATGAAGCAAATGTGCCGATGAAGTGTAAGCAGATCTGTAGATTAGAGGTTGCCCAACTCCACAACGCCCATTATCCCTGAAGGAGAGGTTGCTGTCTCCATGGCAACCCCTCCAGCAGAAACCCGAAAGCAGAAAAGAGCATGGTGTGTGTGCTAATTTTCGGAGCATCATCAAATTCACCTCTCGTTCTTCTTCCTGAGGAGCATTTTGGTTGTTTTGTTGTTATTCATGCTCAATGCTAAATTCCATCACTGACTTAGAATCGCAAAAGCCAAAATGATGTTTCTGCCTACATGGCCAGCTTACCTTGATTGAATTAATAGCAATCACACAAGTTCAACAGGTTTTGACTCTGGGAGTCCATTCAGGTGCGGGAACCGACATTATCATCTGTCACTGTATTTCAGGACTGGTGACACACTGTCACATCTGGTCACACTCTTTGTCATTCATCTTTTACGCTGGCATAGCATTGAGAAAACTATAAGTGGTCGATGTTTATATCCATTAGCTACAAAATTCAATATTTTCTCTACTAAAATGGAGCTCTTGGTTATGCCATCAGAAAATACTAAAGGAAATGATTAACTGTCACCTCAGTTGAGATCATTTTTTCCTCTCTTTTTGCAGACATCCCGAGATCTAGCATGTTTTATACAGTTTGCAAATGTCAACATTTACTATGGGAGTCAGTGTAAAATGAAATACAAAGCACCCACCGACCACTGCTTTGTTTTAAAGGTATGTTATAAGAAGTCCTTGCTTTCGATTTGTTGGTTAATATTTTCGTCTAAGGGAAAACAAATGTCCTATGTGATACAGTTAACTGTATGTGTCTCATAATACAATTTTTGGTTTAACACCCAACTAAAGGAGAGTCAATCCATTTGAGAGATTTCCCCTACAGTATGTTATCAGAACTAAAATCTTGAAATTTCTCTAAGGGGTTCCTTATCACTTCTGGAAGTAAAAGTTCTATATTAGAGGAAACTATTTTATAATTTTATTTATAAAACAGGTACATGGACAGTTCCTTGTTCATATATTGAGTTCATTCTACTGTAAAAAGCTTTAGAAACTATGAACTTGCCTAGATTTTCTAGAAAACATACAAAATAGTTTTTTTTTATTTCCAATAGGCTGTTTACAGTAAAGACCTACCAATAAACAGGATTTATTTAACAGTGCCCTAACAATGCTTAACTCGTGCCCCAGTCCTGTAACCCCTATTCCAGTGTGAACTATCCCTTACTCTTCTGGGGGTTTGTGTTTGTTTTTTGTTGTTGCTTGAAACAGAATCTCACTATATTAGCCAGGCTGGTCTGGAACTTGCTGTGTAGCCCAAGCTGACCTTAAGCTTGAGATTCTTCTACCTCAGCCCTCTTGGGTGCTGGGATTATAGCTGAGAACCACCATGACCCCTGCTTCTTATTCTTCTTTGTATACCCAGGAATTAATCTTTTTCTCAGCATCCAGCAGTGTTGGTGGAACAAATAATGATGTCTTTGTTCTAGTTATGGCTCTACATCTACTTTTGGCTTCAAACAAATTGCTTCATTTCCTTGACCTCAGTCTCTTCATTGTGTAAAGTTAGAGGACCTGTAATATCCCTTTTAGCAATAACGTTCTGAAAGGGACTTTAGCCTTGACCTTCGTGTGCTAAAAGAGCTTCTCTCTTTTCGTCGTCAGGCACTAGCAAATCATTGAGGAAGGATCTGGGCAGTCACATTAACCCAGCGTTTTCTTAAACTCTTTGGCAAATAATTTTTCAGCCAAAGACTCAGTGAGGCAGCAAGCATAAGGTGTGATGGAACACTAGCATGAAGACAGGCTCTGTGAGGTCCTAGGAGCTGCAAGGAGCCTGCTGCCCACTAGGTAGCCCAGCTTAGAATCACAAACTCTGAGGACAACAAGAGCCCTTAGAAGTATCTGGTTTATGTTCAAAGCTATTTTATTGAAATCCAGGCATGGTAGTGCATAACTGTAGTCCCAGCAACTTGGAAGATGAAGGCAAATGATTCTCAAGTTCCAGCTAATCTCAAGCTCTAGGCTAAACTGGGGGGGGGGGGGAACAGATAGTAAGACCCTGTTTCCAAAACAAAATTAAAATAAAAGGGCTGGGGACATGGTTCAAGTGGTAGAGCATTTACCTAGCATGTAAGAAGCCCTGGGTTCAATCCCCAGTTCGGTGGGGGAGGGGAGAAAAGAATTCTCCTTATTTAAAGGAATGACTACATTTTATTATATTTGGATGCATAATATATTTAAGAAATTGCTTATGGTATTGCTTAAATGGAGACCTCTAAGCAAACAATTGCATAAAAGCATTTTGTTGCAAGTATAATTTAGGGTGTTCCCAGAAACTCAATTCTTACATAAGATGCCACCAAAACAAAAACCACCAAAACAGTAACTACACCAAGGTTACAAAAAAAGTCAACTTAATGTCTCAAAGTCACTTATTTTGTTGGCCAGTACTAGAACTCAGAGCCTTATACATCTCAATTAGCTTTTGCCCGCAGAGCTACATCTCCATTTTCTGCTTTTTTCTGGTTAATGGGGATAAGAGCCTCTGATTTGTCTGCCAGGGCTGGCTTTGAACCGTGATCCTCAGATCTCAGCCTCCTGGGTATCTAGGATTACAGGCATGAGCCACTGGTGCCCAGCAAGAAGTCACTTTCTATGAACAATTAGAAACATTATTTGCTAAAGAGAGTAAATCTTGTCCCCCTTATTGAACATAAGACAAAGAATACCATTAAAGAGCTGTGCTTCTGCCACTGAAAGACCAGGGCTTTGGTTTTGTTTGGTTTTTCTGTCAGGAGAAAATGCTGCAGGTATTGGTGAAATATCTCATTCCATATTTTTCATCAATCTGACCTTCTGGTTAATGATGTTTGCTATTGGACTACATTACCTGAGTGGATACATATTTCCAACAAGGAGCATGATTATTGGAGGAACATTTGCAAAGCTAAAATCAAATATTATTGAGCAAGGATTGAACGTGCAAGCACAGTAAAATGAGCAACATCCATCCCAAAGTGTTTGCTACCATCTGCTGGCCATACTGAAAAGCTACAGCACCATTCAGGAGAAAGGACTCATGCCCAACAAGATAGGAACTGGCTCTCTCACACATTGTTCTACAAGTTCTGAGACTGAAAAATATAAAGAAATCTGTCTGTGTAACAAATATAAAAGAAGCAGGCACCCATGGTTCATGCCTATAGTCCTAGATACTCAGGAGGCTGAGATCTGGTGATCATGGTTCAGTGCCAACCTGGGCCTGAAAGTCTGTGAGACACTTGTCTCCAATAAACTACTAAAAATCTGGGACTGCGGCTCAAGTGGTAGAGCACTAGCCTTGAGAAAAACAAGCTCAGAGACGGTGCCTAGGCTCTGAGTTCAAGTCCCAGGACCTGTACACACACACACACACACACAGTGTATAAGGATAGATTTTCTTCAATTGGCTCAAAATGCCAGAGAGAGAGAGAGAGAGAGCAAAAGAGAGAGAGAGAATGAGGAGAATGAGGAAAAGAGAAAGAAAGAAGGAAAGATAGATTTTATCTAATTTTTTCGTCTGGTACCTTTAGTGTTGGTATTTTTGCTTAATAGATGAATATAGAAATTCTAAGTAAAAAGACAAAAACAATAATCACCAGTTTTATCATGTGTAAAACCAAAACTGACTAAGGTTTTATAAAGCCCTCACAAGCGATGTGTATCATTAGCCTCTTGAATAAATCTAGTATCTCAGAGGCTGGATGATTGGGGCCACCAACTGGTGCAGACATTACCTCTCTGATTTCAGTTGACATTCAAAGACACAACGCCCTTTTCTCAGCTCATCTTTAAGAATTAGCCATGTGCTTGAAAGTCGGTGATTGCGCTGAAAGTCAAAATGGAAGTATCTACGTAGCACCCTAAAACAGGAACTGAACCTCTTTGCTCCTTTCCTGCATAGATAGATACTCCCAACTCTAGGTAATAACACACATGCATGCGCTCACGTGCGCACACACACACACACACACACACACACACACGCAATCAAACCCAGTTTGATTGCCTGCCTTACCTATGGAGTAAGCAAGAATATCTATGAGTGATCAGGAAATGTGCTTATTTGTGTTTGCTTGTTTGTTTGTCGGTCATGGGGCTTGAACTCTGGGCCTGAGCACTGTCCCTCAGCTCTTCCGCTCAAGGCGAGCACTCTACCACTTGAGTCACAGCACTACTTCCAGTTTTCTGGTGGTTAGTTGGAGATAAGAGTCTCACGGACTTTGCTGCCTGGGTTGGCTTTGAACCACGTTCCTCAGATCTCAGCCTCCTGAGTAGTAGGATTACAGGCATGAGCCACTGGTGCCTGGCTTATTTGTTTTTTTTTTAGCAATCAGTTGTATTGGAATGCTTATGGTGCACCAGGCATGTTAGCACTGGGGAATCCTTAGCAATAAATAAAATAGAGTTCCTACCCTCATGGGATACCCACACAGTCTATCACAGGCAGAAATATAAAAACTACAAGGACAGTGGGTAGAAGAGAAAAGAATGGCAAGTGTCTCTTTGTCTCCTTCCAGGCTGCCATGTTCAGGAGACATGGATCACCTCTGTTTACCCTTCTCTGTGCCATTGCTCAATGCCAGCTGGGAACACATTTCTTCTGACAATAATATGAAAGGGAGCTCATTGCAAAACTGAATTCTTAGTAGCAGAAATAACACTCAGACTGCGTTTTGGCAGATGCAAGTCCATAGTCACTTGTGTGCCATAAGGAATAGATTAAGTTTCCTGTCTCACAGATACAGAAGCCACTCAGATAACCTTAAGGGATATACACATGATAGATGTGATGACTTTTAAAAGTTCATAGTGCATAGATGAGCCAGGTGCTATGGCTCATGCCTGCACTCCTAGTTACTTGATAGGCAGAGATCTGGGGATTAGATTATAGTTTGAGGTCAGCTCAGGCACAATAGTTCATGGCTCAACCAATGGTTGGGCACAAGGACACATGCCTATCATTCCAGCATTAAGGTTAAGAAAAAATAGGAGGATCTCAGTTCAGCTGGCCCTGAGCATAAAGCAAAAAGAGATGCTGTCTTGAAAATAACCAGTGAAGGGCTGGGAAGGTGCCTTAGTGGTAGAGTGCTTGCCTTGCATGCAAGAGGCCCACATAAGCAGAAAAAGCCAGAAGTGGCACTGTGGCTCAAAGTGGTAGAGCACTAGCCTTGAGCTGAAGAGCTGAGGGACAGCACCCAGGCCCAGAGTTCAGGCCCCACAACCAACAAAAAAAAAAAAGAGAGAGAGAAAGGAAGGAAGGAAGGAAGGAAGGAAGATAACCAAGGAAAAAAGGGACTAGAATTGTAGCTCAAATAATAGAGTACCTGCCTAGCAAGTACAAGGCCCTGAGCTCAAACTGTAGTGCCACCACATACACACACACACACACACACACACACACACACATGGCACAAAAGACAATATAGTAAAAAGTGTTTATGGTAAACTATATAATAGATTGCTTAAATCCTTTCAAAGTTTAGCCATTTTTTTAGCAGTGCCCACAGCCAGCTGCAGTAGTACATTCCTATAATCTCTTCTAGTCCTAAAGCAAAAGAATAGCAAGCCCAAGACAAGCCTAAGAAGCAAAGTGAGACCCTCGATTTCTAAAGAAATGTTTTAAATAAATGGAACCCTTTTTCCTAATTCTAAAATTAGTACCAGTAACCTTTTGCCACTACCTTTGTAAGTCACATGTAGAATTTTTTTTCAAGTTATTTTGAGAGGCATTTCAAGCTCTGGCAGACAAAGCTTATAAATTGCCTTCAAAACTGCTTCTTTCCAGCATCCTCAAATTCAGAAGGAGTCTCAGTATATTAAGTATCTCTGCTGCGATGATGCAAGAACTCTCAACCAATGGGTCATGGGAATAAGGATTGCCAAGGTAAGAGCACATCCACATTGCACCCACATGTCCAGTTTCTTGACCTGGCTCCAGCATTAGAGCTACTGTGAAACAGCTGACCCACTGCTGGTCATTTATCAGCCCATCGAGTTTCTTTCAATAAGAGTGATATGAACATAAACCTACCCACAGACCTGAGAATGGAAGATTGGCTTTCAAATGGAACTTTTCAGATATTTATACATGGGAAGGATTGTAGGCTTCATGTACAATTAAGAAACACAAGACAGTGCTAAGTGGGCTGGGAAGGTGGCTCAGTGGTAGAATGCTTGCCTTGCATGCATGAGGCCCTGGGTTCCATTCCTCAGCACCACATAAGCAGAAAAAGCTTGAAGTGGCGCTGTGGCTCAAGTGGTAGAGCGCTAGCCTCAAGCTGAAGAGCTGAGGGACAGTGCCCAAGCCCAGAGTTCAGGCCCCACGACCAACTAACTATGTAGCTCAGTAGTAGAGTGCTTGCCAATCATATGCAAAGCCTGGGTTTCTACTCCAGTACCCCCACCCCGCCCCCCAACACACACACACATAAATATAAAAGCTGGTGGCCCATGGCTCATGTCTATAATCTTAGCTACTCAAGAGACAGATCTGAGGATCATGGTTGGAAGCTAGCTTGGGCAAAGAAATCCATGAGGCTTTTTAATCTCCAATTAACCAGCAAAAAATAAAAATAAAAAAAGGCCAGAAGTGGAGGTGTGGCTCAAATGGTAGAGCACTGAGCATGAGTGAGTAGACAACTCAAGGCCCTAAGTTCAAGCCCCAATACCAACCCCAAAAAGCAAAGAAAGACAAGATTGAATCTACAGTAGAATGACACGAAGACGTGTAATCACAAATGCATCACACCTCATGTGAAAGTAGAAGTATTGTAAGCTTCAGAATTCACCTTTTGTGAATCTTTTTATTGAAACATACAATAACACTTGGACAAGGAGTGAGAAGAATAGTCATAGAGTATCTTTTTCACTGTGTATATTGCAGTGAATGGCAGAATTTAATAAATGGATCCTGTCTTCCTCCCTTTGCTTCCTCTCTCCAGTATGGAAGGACTCTCTATGACAACTATCAGCTAGCTGTGGCAAGGGCTGGACTGGCCTCACGGTGGACAAAACTGGGGACAAACACAGCTAAACCAGCTCAGCGGGCTCCAGGTACATTTAGAACTCAGAGCTCATGTCCAAAACAAATCCAATGCATTATATAAAAACAATTGTTGTGCTGGGTACCAGTAGCTCATGCCTGTAATCCTAGCCAACTTAGGAGGCTGAGATCTGAGGATCTTTTTTTTTTAATGGTTTGTTTATTGACTCAGCATTCTGGTTTGCATATTGTATTACCTACAATTGACTGTTTTATCTTGGCTTAATTTGTCTGCTTGGTTAGTCAAATTCTAAAAGAGCAATTGAAGTCCCTTGTCATAGTCTTGAAGACTTCATCTTCTATTGGATGTTCTGGCTCTGTGTATTTTCTTCTTTTTTTAATTTTTATTTTATTAAGTAGTATATAATGGAGTTGCCCTTTAACGAAGCAGTTTATGAATACAATGCATCTTAATGTCACCCCTTCCAACATTCTCATCCATTCCTTCCAACCTAGCCCTTCTCTCACTTCTCTTAATTTTGTACAATATACAATGAATTCTTGCCTGCGTTCTCCCCTCTCCCCCTCTCCTGATGTTAGACATTGGCTGTCAGCCTGCCACCAGGCACAGGATCCTGGGAGTGAAAAACAGACCTTCTTCCAGCATGCTGCATAGCTAAGCTACAGTGTTTCCAAGCTAAGACATAGAAAAATCAATTGGAGATTGGTATTTCCTCTTATGATGGATCTGCCAGATGAAATTCCAAAATCAGTCAAAGAACACCTGTATATGTTAGCAATCACTGAGGACTGAGGACATCATAACAGGGCACCCCCAGATTCCCATACGTAGGCCCAAGCCCTCATCCTGTGAATGTCTTAAGAGGAAGAGATTAGACACAAGACCCCATGGCAAGCAGTTCTCAATCGTGATTCACTGGGTTACTGTCCACCATGGATCTCAGCCTTCTTAGTAGCAAGGATTACAGGCATGAGGCAGATCTGTAAACGTTTCATTATTTACTTAGTGCTGGCTATGGACATACCTTGTGTGAGGCCTCACGTCTGCTGAATACATGCTGTACCACTGAGCTAGTCCCCTTCCCCCTCAGCAGAACTCCATAAAGCCATGTTACCACACCACTCCCACATGATAGTGATAAACCTATAACAATGGAAACTGGTTTGAATTTACAGATTCTTCTCTCTTCTTGCTCCTCAGGCCCCAGCCAGCCAAATGGTGGGATCCCCCAGGCCACAGCTTCTATCAGTACTGTCCACCAAGAGGCCCAGAGATCTGTCGAAACAACTAAGGTAAGATCACAAAGGGACAGAAACGTCTACCAAAGGTAAGACAATCTTCTGAACCGTGAGCCATGTTCTAAGATGGGCTGGGAAGGTGGCGCAGTGGTAGAGCGCTTGCCTTGCATGCTCGAGGCCCTGGGTTCGATTCCTCAGCACCACATAAGCAAAAAGAAAAAAGCCGGAAGTGGCGCTGTGGCTCAAGTGGTAGAGCGCTAGCCTTGAGCTGAAGAGCTGAGGGACAGCACCCAGGCCCAGAGTTCAGGCCCCATGTCTGGACCCAAAAAAAGAATAATCACTATGCTAGGCACCAGTGGCTCACTCCTGTAATCCTAGCCACTCAGGAGGCTGAGATCTGAAGATCTCAAGTCTGTGAGACTCTTCTCCACTTAACCACTAAAATGCTGAAAATGGAGATGTAGCTCAGTGGTAGAGCACTAACCTTGAGGAGCAAAGCTTAGAGACAGTGCACAGGCCCTGAGGTCAAGTCCCAGGACCAACACAAATAAATAAATAGCCAAAAGCATTCACCAGTGGTTCCTGCTTATAATCCTGGCTACTCAGGAGACAGAGTTCTGAAAGTTGAAGTCTGAAGCCAACCCAGGCACACAAATCCTCGAGCTCCTTGTCTCTAAACAACAAAAATCTGGAAGTGGAACTATGACTCAAATGGTAGTGTGCCAGCCTAGACAAAAAAACCTAAGCTGGGGCTGGGAAGGTGGCTCAGTGGTAGAGCGCTTGCCTTGCATGCCTGAGGCCCTGGGTTCGATTCCTCAGCACCACATAAGCAAAAAGAAAAAAGCCGGAAGTGGCGCTGTGGCTCAAGTGGTAGAGCGCTAGCCTTGAGCTGAATTGCTGAGGGACAGCGCCCAGGCCCAGAGTTCAGGCCCCATGACCAGACCCCCCCCCAAAAAAAGCTAAGCACCCAGATCCTGAGTTCAAGTCCTTGTACCAGCACCAAAAAAATAAGATAATAGCCAATGGGTAGAAATGCAGATCAGTTGTAGAGTAATGGGTTCTGTCCCTAGCACCACAAAAGAGATGAATGAATGAATGAATGGATAGATAGATAGATACAGATAATGGGTAGATAGATAGATAAATACAATATTCTCCTTAACATTTTTTCAATACCTAGAGATTTATTTAAAATTTTAAAATTCATAGCTAATAATTGTAATTAGCTAGGTAATATAGTTACCAGTTAATAATATTTCAAATGACTAAAATCCACGGAATATGTCAAACCAGCTTTAAATAACTATGACAGTAGTATATCAGTCAGCTATAACACTCAATCTGCATAGTTTCTTTATCCTATGACAGAAACAATTAAATCTCGGTATTTATTGAGTGACCTATAATTTTTTTATTTATTTTTTTATTGTGAACATACTGTACAGAGGGGTTACAATTACATGGGCAAGATAATGAGTACATTTCTTATCAAGCATTGCAGCCTCCTCCTTTGTTTACCCTTCACATCCCTTCCCAGCCTCCTCCCGTCCCCCGTCCCCCCCACCCAATCCTTCCCCCACCAAAGTTGTAAAGTTCGTTTTTGACATGACAACTTGTACTTCTCATTGTTGCAACAGGTCCACCTGTATCCTTAAACGACTTGTTTTTTTCCCATCTCCTCCACAAATTATACCGACATCAAATATAGTGAAGGCAGGGATTATACTGTGGGGGAGGGACATACAAAGCAACAAAGAAATAATCTTATAAATGCGTTAGAAACAAATGCATGAAAGAAAAAAACATTTAAATACATATCTAAGGGTTAGTGACCTATAATTTTTGAAAACTGTGGTAAGCTTTCTAAAAATTATGCTTCTCTAAAGTTCTTCCCTTTTCTTTTTTTTTTTGGGGGGTCCGGTCATGGGGCCTGAACTCTGGGCCTAGGCACTGTCCCTCAGCTCTTCAGCTCAAGGCTAGCACTCTACCACTTTAGCCACAGCACCACTTCCGGCTTTTTTCTTTTTGCTTATGTAGTGCTGAGGAATCGAACCCAGGGCCTCAGGCATGCAAGGCAAGCGCTCTACCACTGAGCCACCTTCCCAGCCCAGTTCTTCCCTTTTCAAGCCTGACAAACTTGTCACATAAAGCACATTCTGCTCTTACAGTATATATATATATATATATATTATATATACATGTATATATGCATATTCATTATGTCTGTAAAGTTGATTTGAAAAGGAGTATTGTGAAAAACCCAAAGAAATAAAAGAACTCTAGAATCAAAATTATTATTTAACTATGTTTAGACACCAAGTCCCACATACTGCCTGGTAAGAGGTTGATAAGCAGAGAAAGTGGGATTCTGATGGAAATGTAAAATGCAGCGATAATTATCACTAAAACAAAGGTATTCACATCTTCCTGAAAGCCTTAAGGAAGTTGCATTATGTAAATGAATAGGATGATTATTATCAATTCTTCCTGTGGGACTTCAGCCTGATTTGATGATCTACCACTTTCTCCCAATAGAAATGCTTCTTGATTTTACCTTACAGAACTCACCCACATACCTATTTTACAGAATCTTATCCTTAATCTCAGACAGATAAAGTAGGGATTAAAGCATCCATTTTAGACCTTTTACACCATTTCAGAAGGAACCTGAGCTGGCCCTCTTTTAATCCTAATGCCTCAGGAGGCTGAGATTTGAGGATCTAGGTTCAAAACCAATCCAGGCAAGAAAGTCTATGAGACTTTTTTCTTTAACTAACCACCAAAAAGCCAGAAGTTGTGAGAATCTGTGAATGCCAAGCCATGAGGTCTAATAAAAAGAATTGGAATGCCATTCTCTGACTCTTAGATAGCTAGGAGTGACTCAAAGATCAATCTCTCCTAGCAATACAGAGACCCAGGATTCTATCCTGAATGTGAGTTAATCAGAACACAAACTTTGATGGACCTTGGAGTTAGATAAAGTCTTACGCAAATTATAGGTGTTTGCTGCTTGCCTCCCTTCTTAAGATAACAAGGTCATTCATTTTAGGATTGTTTCACATACTGGTATCTGTAACTTCAAAGAGATTGCTACCTTCCTTTCTGCAGTACTTCTTGGCCCTCCCCAAATCAATGAAGACCCTGTTAAGGGGACCTTGAGGCATCTCTTGCTGGCAAGAGGCACAGGCCCCAGTTTCAGTCCATCATGGTGGGTTGCAAGAAGTAGAGGTGTGTAGGCTGGGAAGGTGGCTCCGTGGTAGAGTGCTTGCCTTGCATGCATGAGGCCCTGGGTTCCATTCCTCAGCACCACCTAAGCAGAAAAAGCTGGAAGTGGTGCTGTGGCTCAAGTGGTAGGGCACTAGCCTTGAGCTGAAGAGCTGAGAGACAGTGCCCAGATCCCACAATGGACCAAAAAAGAGAAGAAGAAGAAGAAGGAGGAGGAGGTGGAGGAGGAGGAGGAGGAGGTGGTGGTGGAGGTGATGGTGGTGTGGCTTAAGTGGTACAATACCAGCCTTGAATGAAAAAGCCAAGTGAGACCATGAGGCGCACTGAGTTCAAGCCCCAGTACCAGAGGAAAAAGAAGAAAGAGGAAAAGGAAAAAACTGAAATTATAGAATCTGGTGTCCTGCTTCTCCCAGCTCTTGTGCTTCTCCTAAAACTGTTTTTATTATCTTTTATTGTTATTATAAAGGTGATATACAAAGGGGAAGCAGTTACATAAGTCAGTAAAGGGTACATTTCAGTTTTTCCCTCCAATCAGCCCCACCCACAAGTTATATAGTTCATTATTTACATGGTTCACTAAACCTTTTATGGCAGTTGGAACAAAGCTTATCAGTGGTAATTCCCCAGCAGGTCATAGAGTAGGGAAGAAACTTTTGTTCTCATAATGCCAATGCAAGATCCTAGAGCAGGTGCGGGCAGGTCTCTGCACAGAGAGACTTTATTTTTTCTTTCCTTTTCTTTTCTTTTTTTTTTCCAGTCCTGGGGCTTGAACTCAGGACTTGATCTTCTTTTGTTCAAGGCTAGCACTCATCCATTTGAGCCACAGCGCCACTTCTGGCTTTTTCTGTTCATGTGGTACTGAGGAATTGAACCCAGGTCTTCATGCATGCTAGGCAAACACTCTACCACTAAGCCACATTCCCAGCACTAGGGAAGAAACTCTTAATGCTTGGTTACAGTGCAATAGCCTGTAGTCCAGAAAGATCTCGGTCCATCCATTCCTCCCTTTTGTGTTCTTTGTCTTGATCGGGTAGGATATCAAAGCAAGATTTTTGTGAGGAAGTCTCTCTTCCACCTGTCTGCTCTGGAGGGCGTGGTAGAGGAACAAAATAAGTTTAAGTGCTTAAAATTGGCTCTATCAGTTCAAACCTCCCAGAGTCCCTCCCAGCATATACTTGGGGGGGGGGGGAGCCACTTTTCTTGGACACTCAAAAGGTGAGTAGAGAGAGCAGTAAAGCCCTTTGGCTTCCACTTTTGAGTTGCCCTAGGCCGGCAGTTGGTTGATAAGAGACTGAAGCCACACCCTAACTAGCTAAAATGTACTTTGGAGATAACAGCTCCTGTGGAAGGCAGGCTCTGGCGAGGAAAGAGGCCTGATCTAAGCTCAGTGAGCTGGCTCAGGCCTGCATGTCCAGAAGCTTTGGTGGCTGATCACCCACAGGGCCTAGTGGTGTCTGGCATTCCTCTGTCTCAAGATGAGCTCATCAATGATTAGTCTGAGTGATTGGGTGATTGAACCTGCCCAGCTCTCTAGTAGGCATAAACAGGATGGGGATCCAGGCAGGTTTGGGGGGGTGAGGGGGGGAAGGGAGAGAGAAGGCAGTTCCTATCTTAAATCAGAACAGGTTTGGGGGTGTGACTCTGTCCAGCAAGCCTGAGGTCCTGAGTTCAAACCCCAGTAGTATATGTAATAATAGTAATAATAATAACCCCGCTGTCGCTTCGTTGAAGGACAAGAAGCCAGCCCCGAGCAGCCACGACCCAGGCCCTCCCCAGGGCGGTCACCTGCGCAAGTCCGTCCTGCCTCCGCCCCCTCCGATCCGCCGGTCCTCGGACACCGGCGGCAGCCCCTCGCTGCCCCCCAAAGCCCCGGGCGGCG